TTACACCGCCATTACATCTCTCTCGCGGTTACACCGCCATTACATCTCTCTCGCGGTTACACCGCCATTTCATCTCTCGCGGTTACGCCGCCATTTCATCTCTCTCACGGTTACGCCGCCATTACATCTCTCTCTCGCGGTTACGCCGCCATTTCATCTCTCTCTCGCGGTTACGCCGCCATTTCATCTCTCTCTCGCGGTTACGCCGCCATTTCATCTCTCTCTCGCGGTTACACCGCCATTTCATTTCTCTCGCGGTTACACCGCCATTTCATCTCTCGCGGTTACACCGCCATTTCATCTCAAAAACATTTCAAAAACTTTCTATCTCTTTATCCGGATAACAAGTCCGGTCAACCTTAACACTTGAAATTGGGTTAACATCTTTGTCCGGATTACAAATCCGGACGATACTTCACTTACAAAGTTAACCGGTTTAAATTAAAYCRGACAATACATGGTTAAAYCTTTAACCGGTTTAAAACAATCCGGTCACTACACCACTTAAATCTTTTGAACGGTTTAAATGATATCCGGTCACCTCTTGGCCGGTTTAATTGATATCCGGTCAATACATGAGCAGTTTATTACCCGGATATCAATCCGGACACCACTTAAACGGTTTAAACAAAAACCCACATAATATGAAAAAGAATTCATAATAACCAGTTCCAAATGTTATTAAATTGTATATAAACAATTTATATTCAAAGCTCTAATACACTCACCTTTTAGAAATCGAGTATCAAAGCTTTTGACTCCTCTTCTTTAGCAATCCTTCTGATTCTTCAGAGAAAAAACCTTCTAAATATAGTATGTGTGTATTCTTTTCTTCCCCAAAATTTCTATTTATACCTAATAAAAAGGAGAGGTGGTGGGCGGCTCAACCAGCCGACCTCCCCCCCTTTTATTTAAAACAAAAATTTTAAATTAACACTTATATATATATATTACACACATACATACATACATACCCGTACATATATATATATATATAAACTTGAAATAACAACCAGAATATTACAAAACCCTAGTCTACACCAGGAAAAGGAAGTAGGACAAGGAAGGACAGGCCCTACAATCTGAGCAGTGCCACAAGTCTCAACCGATTCCAACTCCTGAATCTCAAGGTATGCGCCCTAGTGAGCCTACTAATGTTGATAATATAGATCTTCCTATTGCTATAAGAAAGGGAGTTCGGACTTGTACTTCACATTCAATAAAAAAAATTTGAATCTTACAAGGGACTATCACCCAGTTATCGTGCCTTTGTGTCAAGATTGGATGAAACTCAGGTTCCACCACTATTCACGAAGCCTTACAAAACCCTGCATGGAAGGAGGCAACATTTGAAGAAATCAAGGCCTTGGAGAAGAACCAAACATGGGAGATTACATACTTTCCATCAAGAAAGAGGACGGTAGGCTGCAAATAGATCTTCCCAGTAAATTACAAATTTGACGGAACAATTGGGAGATACAAGGCATGATTGGTAGCCAATCATATGGGATAGACTACCAAGAAACATTTGCACCAGTTGCCAAGCTCAAAGTCTTGCTATCTATCGCTGCAAACCAAGATTGGCCATTGCACCAACTCGATGTAAAAAAACGCTTTCCTCAATGGCGATCTTGAAGAAGTTTTATGGACATTCCACCCGAATTCAACTCACAGGAAAATCAAGGCAAGGCATGCAAACTCAAAAAGTCACTCTATGGCCTAAAGCAGTCCCCACGGGCTTGGTTCGATAGGTTCTCTAAAGCTCTCAAAAGAATGAGATACACTGAATGCCAAGCGGACCACACGCTCTTCATTAAGCACACCTCTGATTGGAAGGTAACTGGCCTTATTGTCTATGTTGATGATATAGTCCTAACCAACAACGATCACATAGAAGTTGGCCATCTCAAAACCCTACTATTAAAGAAATTTGAGATTAAAGATCTTGGAAATTTGAAGTATTTCCTTGGAATGGAAGTTGTTAGATCAAGAAAAGGAATCTTTCTCTCAAAGGAAGTATGTCCTTGATCTCCTGAAAGAAACAGACATGCTTGGATGTAAACCACCTGGCAAGCCAATGGATCCATACAACAAGGTAGGATCCATAAAACAAGGTAGGATCCAAGCAAGACAACATTCCAGTAGACAAAGGAAGGCACCAAAGGCTAGTCGGAAAACTAATTTACCTTTACACACAAGACCTGATATAGGGTTCCGGTACGTGTTGTGAGTCGGTTTATGAATAATCCCACAGATGAACACATGGAGGCGGCATATGGAATTCTGAGGTATCTCAAAGGGACACTTGGAAAAAAAATTGTTTTTATCAAAGGTTCAAAAAGAGGTATAAAGATATTCACTATTGCAGACAAGGGCGGGTCTCTCACTGATTAGAGGTCTACTTCAGGCTATTGTACTTTTTTATGGAGCAATCTTTGTAACATGGAGAACTAAGAAGCAATCAGTTGTTGCAAGAAGTAGTGCAAAAGCCGAATACAGAGCAATGGCACACAGAATATGTGAAGGGATGTAGCTTAAGAGACTTCTTGATGAACTCAAAGTTGAAACTTCAGAGTCAATCAAACTCTCATGTGACGAGGCAGCTATAAGAATTGCAAAGAATCCAGTCCACCATGATCGGACAAAGCACATTGAGATTGATCGACATTTCATAAGCGAGAAAATTGAGGAATTGCAGATATCCTTACTAAAGCTCCCAAAGACCGGCTTTTGAAAATCTATGCTCCAAGCTGGGAATGATCAACATATATTCCACAGCTTGAGGGGGTGTAGAAATATTCATATCCTTAGAGATGCTCAATATCCTTAAAGATACTTGATATCATTGTAAAATAGGAATTGGAGATTATGGGTAATATCTCCTTGCAATTAGCTATTGTGAATATCTTAGGAATCTTTTCCTTTTCTTCTCATATTCTTTATGTATATATAGCCTTTGTACCTCCCTCTTTTGAGACAAGTGAAATAAAAAAAGAATTCCATAGTATCAAAAACATTCATGCAAACATATGGCAAGAGAATAATACAAAAGAATATCTTAGAGTGCATGAATTGGATGTGTGCTTAAGCAAAACCAACCTCAAATATGATTCTGATGCAGTGATATCTGAGTCCAGGTTAAATATATGTTCAGGGACGGGGGGTATAAGTCCTGTCCATGTAAGCAATTTCCTCAAGAGCCTGCCACGGGGTCCAGCTGATGACAAAATTCCTTCATAACGAGCTACTGCCCTCTGTGCAGCAAGCCATATGGGAAGGTCTTTATCTGAGAGTTGATCAGCTCCTAACATATCATCAGGCAAAGGTTTATCAAGCATGAATGATTTATTGAAAAGAGGAGCCTCCTTGAACCAATGTTTGATCCTTTTCAACCAAACCTCCACATCTTGTCCACGGATGCTGCTTTCTAATGCCTATGACGAGAAAATATGTTATATGCCAAAGAATGCCATGAAAGAAAATCATACATGCTAATCAAGTAATCAATCTCCTCGTCTACTAGGAAAAATATCAAGTTCTCTCTTCTTAATTAGGAACTCAAATAATCTCATGATTGTTAAATTGACCTACTCTTCATTCACAGCATTTCAACTTCACTGGAAAAACAAGAATCAATTTATTCCGAGTGAGGGGCACATCAATGCCTTAAGCATAGAGGATTTGTTGATCAAGTATTTTTCATAATCAGGATTTTACACATTTAGTACTATTTCTTAATCTCATATAATCAATCATTCCAAGTCACAAGCCGGAAAAATAAGGATAGGTATCTTCAGACCATCAGCCCCTTTGGTGCAGCTTAAAAAGGTTACTTCTCAGCACATGAAGTTCTTCTTTGCAAGAGTAGTCAACATTGCATGTAATATAAATGTTGATGATTCTTTGCATTAGTACTTTTAGGTTCTCATTATTTAATTAATAATTAATTAAATACTAAAAGATAAGAGTTAATGAACTATTTAATATTTAATTGAACATTAAAAAATATCAATTAAAAACATGAGTGTATAATGGTCATTTTCATTTGGCTAGCACTTAATATAAAACATTTAGTAAAAAATTTCAATCAGCACTTACTTGAATCAAACCTCTTATCTTATTCAGACATCTTACTCAGGTCAGCACTTACTCAAATGTTTTGGTAAACAACCCCGAAACTTTTATCACGATGTCAAATTAACCCTAAGTGTGAAAAGTTGAGTTTATATGATATTCATGCTCCAACGTGAGAAAGACAGTTAGAATTACAATGCTATTTATGTCATGTTACAACTCTTATGTCGATAGGTTTGCTTTCGGGTATCTCCCATTGGCTCAGGACCAGCATTGTTCTCGGCTAGATTAATGATAGATTCATAACTTTAGAGCAACTTGTCATCTCGTTGGTCAACCGTGAGTTGGTTGATCATTTGTTTCTTTAGGTAGACTTTTTGATCGTTGTTCATTGATTCCTTTCTTCTATGGGGAAATACTTGGAATGAGCCAGACCTTCATGCTTTAATTCATCTAGATATGCTTGATATTTGGATGCCCTAAAAACTCTTAGATACATGATTTCATGTGTTTGTTTGCAGGATTCTGACGAAATCTGAAGGAATTGGAATGATCAATTCCTTGTCCAAATTCCATTCAAGCGTTTGGTTTACCTATGGAATATAATTGAGTTCCACATATTCCACCATTCATGGATTTGGTCATTCAATCACAATTGAGAAGGAATTCAATTCCATTTCATCTCATTTTCTCAAAAAGACAAAATTATCCCCATCTTCATTGCTTGATTACCCAGACCCATATGACCTCCATATGAACCACCGTTGACTACCACCGATCTAAACCACCGCCGACCACCACCTATCTGAACCACCGCCAACTACCACCGTTTTGAACCACAGCTGACCACCACCGCTATAAAAGGGGTATTTCGGTCATCTACTTTTTAGTCCTTCCAATCCTAAAGCTACATTCTACCAACCAAACACCAAACACCAAATGCGCATATTCTAAATCATTTAACAGATTCCATTCCAATTCATTGCAACCAAACGTGCGGTCATATTGCATTCGAATTCCTTCAAAGTTAAATTCTTTTAACAGATTCCATTCCTTCAAAAAAACATTTTGCGAACCAAATGCCCCATAGGTTCATCCTTCTTGCTCTTGGTCATGCTCTATAGTTTGTTCCTTGGGTTGCTTCTAGTTCAAAGGGACTTGCACGCTCCAGTTCTCACTTGAATCTAAAAGGGAATGAGCTTACTCAAGTTGTTGTGTCCGATTTTTGTTTTTGTGGTTTTTTGTTATCTTTGGAATGATTGCCAACTATGATCAAACTTAAGGAGGAATTGGTGGGTTAAATTATGTATTAAGTTCAACAAAATTATAGGTTTACCTCCATCTTATTTTAGGATTCTCGTCTCACCTCATGGGGCCCATCATGTATTGTATATTCATATCATTTTGAGTATTAACATAATACATCTTTATCATTGGTAAACCCTAATTGTTTCCACAAACTAGATAGACTCGTATGTGAATGTTGAAGTAAATAATAAAGTGGAGGCCAACTTCTTTTTCCCTTGATAGCAAGTGAATATATCTCTTTATGGCACCCCAATTAGATTTGTTAGACACATTATACTTGTCTCTTTTTACGCCCAGAAACGCTACACACATAAAAACACAAAAAGAAGATTGCCCAAAATTTCCAATATTTTAACGATAAGCCATTACCTCAGCAAACCACATCCCGACTTTCCCTAATGGTTTAGAGATACTGAAGAAGAGTGCTTGCAGAAGTTTGGACTGCAAGTAATCTAGTTTTTCAACTATTAGTAGACCCTTCTGCCTCTCTGTTGCATATCCCCTCCTGTAAGATGAAAGGTCAGTATATATTGGTGAACAGAGACCTGCAATATATTCTCCAAAGAATAAACCTGAAACCAAGTTAGATGTACTGACAAGGGACTTTTATGATGAATACATTGAAAGTAAAAAAAGGTAAAGTCATCAAGACATAAAAATTTATACAAAACAATTGTCTATAAATCTTTACACTTGATAGAAATGACATGAAAAGTAAATATACCAACGTGAATTCAAAAGTTTAATTTGCTAGAACTAATGGACAGATATCGACATGACTATTAGTTTTGGAATTCAATCTACCGGAGATGGGCCAATGAATAAAAGATGTATAACATTGAAAGAACAATAGAAATATAAATACATATAAATCTTATACCTCTAAAGAAATGATGTGAATCTTATATTACCTTAAGTTTCTTAAAATTTCAGGACTTGTCTTTTGAACTTGAACATACTTCAATAACCTCTGATGACCAATATAGAAGTAGTTATATGTTTACTTTGGTGACTACTCTCGCAAGTTTCAAGTGATCATCAAGTAAAAGATATAAAAAAACAAAACTATATGTGTGATAATGCTCTTGTAGAAGGTCTATGAAGGCATCTAAACCATTGGTTCACGTTAGATAGCCTAGCAGTTGTCCCCAAAGTTGTTAAAGGCTCAAGGTGCACTTAGACGCAAAGGATCCCCAGGCCTAGGCGCGAGGAGTAGGCATGAGGCGCTGGCCTCATGAATGCAAGTCACATCATATCAATATATATATATATATATATATACACACACAAAGAGTTACAACTCAAATATGCAGCAAGTAAGCCTCCAACGCAACAACCAGGTGGAAAAGTTTTTTAAGGTCTTGGTATTTGTAGAGGAGGAGGCTTGAAGTTCTAAGGACCGAGTGTATAATATTAGGGTTGGACTTTAATCATCTACTTAATAACTCTTTTTAAAAGTCTAGGAGATGAAAAGATGAGAAAACATATTTAATATTAGGGTTTGACTAGATATTTAGCAACACTTTATAAGGCGTGCCTAGGCCCACAAGGCACCTCAGAGGAGCAACGCCTTAGTGAGCCTCGTGAATATGACTAGCCTCAACTTTAAAAAATCCCAAGACCTTGAGCCTTATGAGTCTTAGAGCAGGCGCTTTCAACAAATATAGTTGCCTATTGCCGGTTGCTTAAAGTTCATCTTGTTTGATAGTAACTCACCTCATACTCGCAACAAGGCCCATATAGAAATTGTAAAAAGGCTACATAATTGTAATGGCCCGATTTAGGGGTATATGTTTTTAACAATAATAAAAAACTAAGTTCGCACTAAACGAATATTACTAATTATTAGTTCTATCAAGTCATAACAATGATATGATATATATCCTCATGAGTTAAGATGATGTGCATTAATACGGACATATATGCAAAAGCAATTGGGGTGATGATATAGCATCAAAGGAATAGAAATGGATTAAGTGTGGGTGTGTGGTATACATATATATCTTTACTATATTATAAAGCATTTGTTAAATACTCCAGTTCGTTCACACGTTAATTTCATATTTTTATTTTTTTTATGAGAAGTTGCATTAATTTCCCATTCTTGGTTTACAACAAAATTTTGCATCCTACTGCAACACACATGTACACAACTAGTACATATATACGTGTGTGTATATAAATATATATTGTTGGATCATAGATCGTTCTCGGTCTATATAGGAACAATAATCAATTTTAGCTCAAACGGTTTGTAGTGGAACCTTACCCTCTATCCATTCAACACGCACAATTTCTTTTTGGTCAATGCATCCTGCAATTTGCATTTGGATTCTGCTTGTTCAGATAATTCTATAACCTAGTTGATACTTCAAGCAGATTTTACGTGGATGGAAAGAACAAAAACAGACTCATGAAGGTTTAATTATTCAATCACTTCCAATTGGAATGTTCCAGGTTCGTTTAAACAATGAAGATGTACTTCTCGGTTATGTTTTAGGAGCTAGATTTGGACCATCTCCCCAATATCCGTGGAATCTCCTTCCTCTCCTCAAGTTGCGACACATGGAACCCAGGCGGTATAGGAAGTTGTAGTTTATAGGCAACCGCACGACTCTGTTGCACAATCTGGAACGGGCCGTAGAAACGGGCAACTAATTTCTGAAATGGGTGTTGGGCAATAGGCTTCTGGCGATATGATTGACATTTGGATATACCTCGTCCGCGACTTCAAAAGTGAAGGCCTTGCAAGACTTGTCTGCCATGTCTTTCATCTTCTGTTAAGCGTTTAATTGGTGAGCCCACAATTCTAATAGTTGATCCCCGAGGATCGGTACACCAATACCCCCTTGTTGAAAAGGCGGGCAGTTCACAGTCTTTAAAAGCCCCGAAGGAAGTGCACTTGGTGGCTGAATGATACACTATGTTACACCAAAATTCAGCCCAAACTAGTAAGAACTCTAAGGCTTTGTTTTTATAAATAGAATAGCCTATTATTATTCGGTAAGAGGTTTTTTCTCCTTTTTCAAACCCTCTTATCACTTACCTTCCTCTGATAGAATCAGAGGTAAACCCACTTCTTATTTACCTCTTATTTTGTTCTCCAAAACTAGAACGAAGATAAATCGCATTGAACGAATCCTATAAATTGCAAAAAGAATCACGATCCTCAATTTCATCTAACAAGACGGAAAGGTGCTTCATCTCGAATCGATTTCCATCTACTATCTTACTATCAAATACAAATATCCCAAGCAAAACAATGGAACCTGCCAAACTTTGTAGAGATGATACCGAAACAGAAGGATGAAATCAAATTACTAGAGAAACTAAACATGTTACTGATACCGCAAAACCAAATTGCAAATCTTGCCGAAATGAAGAACCAATGGTGGCAAGAGATAGAGGTTCGACTGACGACAGTGGCGGCGAAAAAACCTCGCTGGAATAGTGCTCTACGTGCCGTTGCCATGGTCGGAAGGCGGTGGCTGTTGACGATGTGTGAGGATCACTTGCTGGTCAGACAACTCACTAGGTACGCCGACGAGCCTCGTCTGAAACTCCCAATGTTGGTTGTGAGACCGTAGTGGCCGAACGATAATCAGACGGCAGCCCAAATTTCAAAACCCTAGTTTCAGTTTTTTTTCTTTTAAAAAGCTCTAATACCATGAAATTAATATCAATTGTATTTCACTTGATTCAATTTACATATACTTATACATGGTCTGAGTAAATGATTCTGTTTCTTTTTCTTGTTGATTCCATAACACTTACAAAATGATTGCAATTAACTGATTCAAACTACAACACTTCAATACTTCATCATTCGAGAAGCTGACAGCTCTCCTACACAATAAAACACAAAAATCTAGATGTTTCTAACAAAACTCCTGCATCCCTATTTGTATATGCACTCCACCGACTAACCCCCCATCAACAATGAGTTGGTTGCTCTGTTGGTTCATTGTGTATACATCTTAATTTAGGCTTGGTTGCTTCTGCTGCTTGTGGTTCATCTAGATTTACTTGGCCACTAGGTTTGGCCTGTGCATTGGTTTCGTTTAGTTTTACTTCTCATGATTTTTGCATGGAGACTTCTCTGGTTGTCTCTGCTTAGATACTTAATTTAATAGCATTTGTTTTATTTTTGCTATCTTTCTTCACGTTTTTATCATGTTTCCATGTTGCTAGATCGGTAGCTGTTATGCAAAGATTTTTTGGTTGTTCTAGAGTCCAGAGTGATTTAATAAAAAAACGAATAAGTTTGTTGGAGTTTTGAAGAACAGTTTTTCATTTTGATGCTATACTTTCCTTTTTGTTTGGCAAGTTGGGCATTTGCATGCTCCGATTTCATCAGGAGTGCCAGAAAGGCAGACATCACATTAGATATAGTTTTAGTGTCCTTGTCTAGTTGACAAATGTAAAATGACCAAAAAAGAAACGTTAGAAAATTACTTAATTCTAGCATTATATAATATAATTAATACAAAAAGGACATATTCAAACTTATTTCATCATATTAAAATAAGTAGTAACAGAAATAGATTTGTTCAATATCAAATTTGCAACACAATAACAAATTTTACCCATCTCAAGGCATGATCCTCACATATTAGGCATGTAATGCACTTTCTAAATCATTAATAGTGTAACCAAATACGAATTTGAGACAATGTCTCATTAAATGATGATTTTGAATAACCATTACACATGATATGAATAAGAGAAAAGTTTGTCAACCTTAGTTTTTTTTTAATAAATAATAAATAGTTTACTAAATCATTTATTGAAGTTATATTGTCTACGAAACACAAGAAATATAATTTTAATCTTTATACAACTTGCAAAAACATGCTTAGAATTGTTGTATATGATTTTTAGCTATGATAATAACTATAACAATATAAAAATAATTTATAATAATTCAAAAGAAGTAATAATTAATATTCATTAATAATAATCAAAAGATGAGTAATAGTAATTAGTAATTAAATATCTAATACTAATATTAACAAATTAATAATTAAATACTAATTAATAAGACCAATTAATTACTAAATACTAATTAAATAAACTAGCTTATGTCCAACCAAACAAGACTTTTTGAATAATCTCAAAAAATAAGCTTAGCTTATGGTTGCCAAACATGGCCTAAACGTAATATGATCACTTAATAATTTTCCAAAATGACAGTACGATATACCAAAAATACCACATTCCTCTTTCAACAAACAATCTACTAAAATACCTATTTATACGTTAATAAATTAGTTTTGGTTTATAAGTTTGTTTAATCTAGACAAATAGAAGCAAGTCGACGAGCAATGACACGAAATGCACGTCGTGGTGGAAAAATATGGGTCCATATGTTTCCAGATAAACCAGTTACAGTAAGATCCACAGAAACACATATGGGTTCATGTAAAGGCTCTCCCGAATATTGGGTAGTTGTTAAACCAGGTCGAATCCTTTATGGAATGGGTGGAGTAACAGAAAATATAGCTATTTCTTGTTTAATTGAACATTTCATAATTGGAATATAAATTCTTAAATCAAAAAATTAAAAATCCTATTGGGATTTTCTATCTTTATTTTTTTAATTATAACTTTATTCTTTAATAATAGAAAAATACAAAAGAAGAACTAATTCCCTTCACCTCCAACCCTTTGTATCTCATGAAGAGGTGAGACGAGGAGGGTTTTTTGGTTTACCGGAGCCAAAGATGACGAGAGCAGAGGCGAGGCGACGAGAGTGATTAGGTCAAATTGGAGTCGATTAACAAAGAAAGGGAGGAATTCGGTTTGCATTGATAGATTGGATTAAGAGGTTGATTTTTCGTATCAAACACTTCCACATCTGAGCATTAGTTTCCTTTGGCACCAACACACCTTTTACCTATATATCTAATTTGTTACTCAAGATATAGGCAACCCTACTATATTGACTGAAAATTAAGATAACAAAATGCATAATAAAATCAGAACATTCACCTGAAAATTATAGCCTTCGACTCTGATGTTTTCTTCCAATCAACATAAACTGGGAGAGTGAGTAGATAATCAGTATTCAATGCCGATGTCAACATCAAGTCAGCAGCTGACAGCTCTTCAAATTGAGCATTGTAAAGTAGTTGCATAAAAGCATGCTGGAAACGGGTGTCAACTGGAACTCTACATGCAAACTTGGAATCAGTCAAGGTAATTAAATGATATCATCCAAACATTAACCGAAACTAGACAATTCTCCATCCAAAAAAGGAAGTTGCAGTTTCTCTGTCCCAAAGAAAGAGTCATATTTCAGTATTAACGTTATGATGGATCTGATGATCCTAATTACCCTTCTTTCTATAAATATCAGATAAACGGCCATTTTTATATCTGTTCAATCATGTCTAAAAGAATTGTTTGTGATTTTCTTCTAGATTTCAAGCTGGAGTCCCTTCTTATACCAACTGAATACATCTAACAGAAATAGATCATTAACTATGCAGAATTTGTTGGCTAAAAGGTAAAGCCATCGACAGAATCATAGAATATAATAGAAACAACTAAGATCATGTAGAGTTATTGAAAATGTATATTAATATTTATGTTTCAGCAGCTAAGTACGTGCTCCCAACGATTAAAACGAAATAACTAGTCTCAAATGACTTGTAAAGTCAAACAAACTAAATTTCAACTTCAAAACTAAGATCATCTCAAAACATTGTTCAGCAACTTCAGAACTCAGAAGTATTGAACTTCAAAAATCTTAACCTAAACCTAAAAGAGCTCGACACTTGGCAAAAAACGAGTTCACAATTCAAACTGAATACTAAATAGCCCAACTAAAGTAAAAAATCAAGCACAAAAAAACCGCTATTTTGCACCGCTATTCTCCGGATGACTGCAAACTGCTATATCACCGCTGTTTCACCGCTATAAAGTATCACCTAATTCCTTATTCCTAACTCTTGAACAAGATTAAAACCCCAGGTTCGATATGGGTTTTACTTGGATTCGAGACCATACAGAAGAACAACGTCCTACTTCACTCTTCTACAACACAAGATCCACCCCACCTTTCCCAAAAGAAGACACGAGACAGATCACCTACTGTATGGAAATGCGCACGATCAAAGCATCCTCCAATGATAGCTTGTCACTAATCAGTATACAAAAGACTACTTGCTGGAGACACTTTCAAATATCTCAAGTGTGTAACACAGCATTGCAGAGGATGAAGACTGAAGAGATCTACTGCTCTCATGTGAAACAAGATCTCATGTGTAACTTCCAAAGTAACTTTATGTATCTTATTGAATCATCAAGAAGTTTATCATCATCTAGATAAAGGTTCATATTCCAAATCACCTGCAACCCAACTCTAGCATCACAAGGTAGTATCAAACAAATATTTGATTTGGGAAAACCTAAGGCCCCACAGACAAGAACCCAGTACTCAAAATCTTTGATCTGAGATTCCATCTGAATGAATAAGAATAATTGAAAAACTGCAGTCTCCTCCGACTCAACCCCTATAATCCAATATTATCAACACACAATACCAATATGGTTTGCCTTGCATGTTTAAGTTGAAAGAAATGATATAGTCTTAAGAACCATAAACAAATATCTCCAGTCCCAAAGCCAATCATGAAATCCACACTTCAAAAGCATGCTCCAGAGCACACATAGTGACCTCCTTAGACAACATACATCAGAAGTCTTCTCCAAAATGGGAGCAAAAAGAGTAACCAAAACCAAATATATCCTACTCATAGGAGAACCTGGGAAGGGTGGGAAGGGTGATTTGTACGCAGATCTGACCCTTACTCCAAAGAGAAGACAAGTTGTAGAGCCATTGCTTCCATTAAACCCTCAATTTGTGCAAAAGTGTGAGCAAAAAGGAAATAAGAACTAGAGCTAGTTAAAGGTAAGCAACAAAAAATAGACACACAAAGAAATATAAAGAATGTAAGGCACAATGAAGCATGAAAAACACACATCCATGATCCATCCAACTATCGTGAAACTTTGAAAACCTATAAGTTAGCTCCCTAATCCTCCCCTACCCCACCGTAAGCCTCTGATTCCCTTCTATCCATCCACACTAGCTACAGTCCCCTATACCTACCTCATATGAAGAGAGTATAGCATAATATATATCATACGTGATGGTCCTTTAACAACACTAAACAAATCAGTATAGTTGTTCACAGACACAATGAACCTGGAAATTTCTACAGAATTTATCTTCGTATTTTTTGTTGAATATCCCAAAAGGTCTGAGAAATCGATGACTGAATCCTTCCCATCAGGCATTGAGTTTCCTTCAGAACTACCATCATCGCGACTTGTAGTCTTGTGACGAGCAGAATGAGTAAGATCATAATCGGCACGCATTTCCTCTAAAATGCTTTTATGTTCGGCATGTAAAATAGAGTCCAGGCACCTGAAATTGAAGATAAACAGTCACTGATGCTCCGGTGGAGAATTTAATTGATATTTTAATTTCATATCGCCTGTACTTAACGACAGGTATAAGAATTGACAATCATAGCGATCACAGCACCAAAAACTAGGATTAAACCAAAAGGATCCAGAATCAACTTACGATGACATCAAAAGAAAATCATCTTTCTCTTTTCTTGAATCAAACATCAAGACAATGGCATCCAAGAGCTCTGATTTCGAGATCGCGATGTACTTAGGTCTTGGCACATGAACCCCACCTCCACCATACCTATTATTTGTGGAATAAACCTTTTCTCCTCTATTTGAAAGACAACAGAAAGTGGTAGAAACGGAGCAAATCGAATTGCTGGATTTTGTAGATGATGATAGAGGGTGGAAGGTGGCGGTGGGTATTTGCCACGAGAGATGCATTCTCGTGGGCACCGGAAATGGAAGAAAAACCGTTGAACTGGAAGGAGATAAGAAGAATCTGGAGGTTTTTCGGTTTTGGATTAATTATAAATATTGTCCCTAAATTATTATAGAAATAACATGCTTAGTCCATTAATATCAGAAGTGACCAGTTTCACGCTAAAAAAAGTCATTCTTGAAAATTAGTTCTTTTTAGGGAAAAGTTCAAAAAAACCCAATGGACTTTACTGTTTGGAACGATTAAACCCTTGGA